AGTGTTTTTACTGTGAAAGCTGGGATCAAGACCTATCGATTAAAAAAAAATTTTGTTCAGTTTTGTGTTTTCATTCGAAAGTTACAGCTGTTTTAATTAGAGCGTAAGTATCGCTAATAATGTGATTTTGGCTGAAATTCAGTATTTTTCATAAAATCACTATAACTTTTCATTCGGGGCATAAAATTCAAAGATTTTTGTTTTAATCATTAGGACTCTGTTTTTTCTTTCATTTAAACCCAGATAAAGCCACCTAATGGAGTGTGCCACTTGGCTACCAACGTTAGTAGCAGTACCCCCGTTTTTGAATTTATGTAGCAAAAAGAGGCCAATTGAACAAAACCCCGAGATACGTGTTTCGTCTTTTAGACCAACAGTGATAAAAAAAAAGTTTGGCTGGGATTGATTGCTCTAAAACGAAAAAAAACGATACTTTAAGGTGAGGTAGGGTTGGAATGGAAAAGTTTGGAATGGAATTTTCTATGTTTGTAGTGTTCGTACGACTCGTAGACGTATTACAATGACTTGTCCATCCATACTTTATTTACTACTGTTTGTACGCGCGAAATACGCAAAAATAAGAGCTTGGCTATTCAAGAGGTAACAAATTCAGGTACTACTGTCGTAAGGATTTATTCATTTTAGTCCTATACTTTAAAAAGTGACCATTGGTTAGCATTTCCAGTCCATAAAGTTACTAGTTTGAACTGATTTTTGTTAAAACCACGATTATGGGGCAAACATGCGGACAAGATGTATGCAGTGAAAACTCACTCATTTTTGTCGATTTTTGGTGAGACTAAGGCACAAATCTAATCACCAATAGCTAGAGTATATAATGCTTACACGCCCAAGTAGTAGATAAGCCTTATTTTTTACCGGTGAAAGTTTTTGTGAGTGAAATTGAGTTGTGGACATGGGTCGGAATGGGAAATTCAACTCTTAATGATCGATTATCTCAATGAAGAAATTAATGTAGCGGTATTAGACAAAATGTCAAGTGAAGTTGACATAACATTTAACACAATTTAACGTTTTTAAAGTTTTGGATTTACGGCACGTGAGTATGAGTACTGGACACGATCTGAGCAAGTTACAGCAGAATAACCCATACATGTACGTATTTACATGTATATATATATATATATATATATATATATATATCTTCCTATGTTACATAGTTGTTTGAGTAAGGCATTTTACACAAATCCCCAAGACTCAACACAGTCTCCCACAATTCCCGTGCAACTGACCCCCCCCCCCTCCCTAACCCCTATCGCCCCTTAACGGCCCCCCTACAAGAAAAGTAAAACTTTGTCGTTGTCTCCCTTATTTTGGCTTAGCTTACTGATTGTTCAGACCCCCTACTACTCTCACAACCCCCACATACCTCCTAGCACCCCACGCCAAATTTTTGTTCATCCACACCACTTACCCCTATATCCTATTATACTATTTTGGTAGAATCTTATTGGCACTCTACTTACTTTTGCGGAACTTGACACCTACTCAGACACACATATGTACCCATATTATTTTATTGACACACTACGGTGAAACATAATCTTAAAAAGTGAACCAATACAACCATGTCCAAGTGTGGTGAACGTAATTTGCTGGTAACATATATATTAATAAAATCGTAAGTAGATTTTGAAAATTTTATGTTTAAAGAGAAACAAAGACCATCAGTTCTAACACTGGTGAATTTTATTTCAAATTCTATTATTTTTATAAAAAAGTTTCATACTACCACTTTGATTGCCCTCGTCTCTGTTAACAGAATAAGAAGTGATCGTACATCTTTCAATTCTAGTCTTTATAAATACAGAATTACGAATAGTGATAAATGCAAATATTAAGATAGAGACCCATATATTCCTAACCATGCACATTTTTGCAATGTAAACTATGTGACAAAGGAAGAGATACCGTGTATAAGGAAATTCTAAAATATCATCCATTTATTCTTAACCATATTCAACTAATACGGAACTCTAATTGTTACAATTCTTGCAATATTTATTTGCATAATTAACACAATTATGTAAATTTGTACAAAATATTCGAATATTTGTACATATAAAAATTCCATATGTTCTTATTCTTCTTCAAAATTTTTTAAAAGTATTCAGTGATCCTTTAACTTACATTGCATTTTTTTTGTTTTATAACTGTAAAAATAGTTGTGTATTACTAATTAAAAATTAGGAAAAATTCTATTTTATACTCAATAAGCTGTCTTTTATTTTGTAAACTATTTATGTAACATATTATTTATGAATTGCGGCATAGTCCAATAAGTTGGAAATTTTCCAATAAAAAATCTATAGTTTCATATTATTACGGTTTGTCTAGAAACAGTGTTACGGACGTTTAAGTCCAATTCCGATTGGCTGCGCGATTTTTAGCCATTTTACTGTATGTTATATAGGTTGAGTAAGTAATGTAAATAATGTTCTATAAATAGTTTTTATTCGGCGTGGGGCTTGACTTACCACATATGTACGTAAAATTACTATACCCATACCCAATGAAATGACTTAACTATAGTGGTCATATGCCACCCTGTTCCTAGATATGCTGTAGTGTCCTATTTACATAAATATGATGTATACACGAGGTTCTCCAATGAAAATCTTAACATTCTTAATATTTATCATAGTCGGAAAATTTTTATTTCTAAGCTTAAAGATTCTTTTTTCATATATTTTTTCATCTTACTTGTCTCTACGGGTTGATATTGTGAGGCTAAGTCACAAGCCCTCTGTGTTCGTGCTACTAGCCCTACGCCTAGTTCTTAAATTCAGCCCTGTTTATGATGGTCTTGGATTTCATCTTTACTTTAATAATAATGTTAGTTTTTCAAGTGTTTTTACCTATGAATATCCATCGTTATTTCGAAGTTATTTTTTTATTCATGCTTTTCTTCCATGAATCATCCTGTGTGTCTCTATTATAATTTTAGTGAGATCATCGTCCTACGTATTTATTTTTCAATTGGATGATAATTTCTTGAATAATGACTAGAGGCGTATGAGGCTCAAGATAAGGTTAATTACTATTTTAAATTTAGGACAAAACATTGTTAAAATATTTTTACTTTTTCCTAAGATCAGAAGAATCTTATGAACTATTTAACCCCTTACAATTGTAAATAGTTGGGAGATACATACATCTTGACCATCTCGCCATCTGTCAAATTTTGGATGTGAAAACATTTCATACGAGGTTTGGATTTCCGCTTGGGCAGTGAAAATTTTCAAATCGTAACGCTTTTTCTGTCACGTCTGTATAGATATACTAATACCGGTCTCTCTCTCTCTCTCTCTCTACTGAAGAGCGCTGAGTTTACGCTGCTTCCAGCCAAAAAATATAGATATACTATATCATATTCGTCTATAAGCAGTTAAGTGTGCATGCGCACGTGCACACACACATATGCTGTGCTGGGCTGCTGGCCAAAAGTGGCCAGTGCTGCGTGTTTACGCTGCCACCTGCAAGAATATTGGTCTGTCTAATTCAGAGGTGAGACGAGTGGTCTAAAAGCCACGCAGGAAGAGACTGAGAGAGATGACAGTTGCCGTCCATCCGTGCGTGTGTATTAGTTTGCGTCTGTCGGTTACAATTGACGCGTAAACATATAACCTTACTTTTTAAGCACGTTGCTGTTTATATTTCACCAAATACTAACATAAATAATATCATTCGCTTTTTGCGGTTTAATTTGCTACCATATTTAGATATTGGTTCTGCTGCATTGCAAGGAAATTACAATTCTTTGCCTATGACTGTTTCTGGTAATTTTAATGTTAATTTTAATAATGAAAATTCTCAGCCTTGAATATACTTTCTGCACGATTTTTAACGTTTGCACATTAATAATAATTGACATCAATCTACTACCATAGGAAGTACGACTATAGACGGAATTTTTTCGAGATTCTTAAATAAAATTATATCTTCGACATTTATTTCTTACTATGGCTACCACAAACCAATTGTTACTATTATACAGAATGATGAGGAACACACTTTGCAATGAGTAATCATTTAAATATTTTTTAGTTTATTTTTTTTTGGTACTTTTTCTACATTAATACATATTTTTTTGTTAATAAAAAGTATGATATGTAATTTGTATGAATATTGTTTGTTTAATTAAATAACAAAATATGAAATACTTCATAAGATTCTTGGAACTGTGAGATGTGGAGAGATTTTGCGGTGAGTATTTTTAAACATCAAAACAAATCTTAAATTCCGTCTTAAAAGATTTATTGTTTCGGGACGAATGCCTTTTATTTTAAGTATGGGGTTAGTCAAGACATATCATGTTGCTTATTTGAGAGTGTTATAATGAAGTCAGTAGTGAAATGGCGTTTCATGAAGTAGTGTATATTGTATAAAAATTATTCAAAGTAATAATATTTTGTTTGTTCATGTTTTGCAAGCGAGTAACTGGACCAACTATACAACTAAATTAAACAAAAAAACTAGATTAAAAAGATTTGACGAAGTAATTACTAAAGAAATATACTCAGATATAGATACGTAATGACCAAGATAAAGCGATAAAGATACTAATCTTGTCATTTTTGCAGCAAAACTATAAAAAGTTATGGAAAAATGTCAAGGTACCGTTGCACTAGGGCACACAGATCCAGAATATAAATAAAATGGTATACTTGTGCATAATAGTAGTTTTTACTATATGAGCGCTACTACCACTCAGAGGCATGGTACTCATGAGCTGAACGCTTTTTTTCATACGTACGTATGTGTTCAAATGTCGCGAAAAGCGCCCTGAATATTGAAATATTATTTAAAAAATTTAGTTTATGTAACAGACAATATTATTCTTAATTTAAATACAATTTTTTTCTAGTAATGATAGATAGATAAAGATGCCTTATGTAGAAAAATGCTACGTATAAAAAGATATTTAAAATCAAAGACTATATCAAAATCACATGTGAGTGATAAAATTTTTTTTATAGGTTGTAAGGTGTATAAAAGACAGACGTAGGGCACGTAGATATCGATTGCCTAATTCTAGCCTAAAGAAAATACCAACGCACAAGTATACAAAGGGTGACCCATACGAAACATGTGCTATTTGCCTCGAGGATTATGTTGAAAACGAAAAATTGCGAATTTTGCCCTGTGCACATGGTAAGTAGATTATGTTTTTACCCGTTATTTATACTTTTTCAGTAAAATTCTATAGAAACTCCTTGTCTTTTCACATTATAAAAGCTTATTAATGATTGTTTAATAATGTTATATGTATATGTACATAAAAACTTTCCACAGACTGGTACAATTCTTACTTTAATATTCTGAGAAGAATACACGTCATTATTTAAAATATGAGCATAGTTACTCTACTTACTCACATGAACAATGACCCATCTGAACGTGTCTGTGGTGTATATATATATATATACTTACATTGCATTTTTTT